TCCAAAAAAATCCCCCAAAAATCCAAAAAAATTCCTTAAAAATCCCCAAAAAATCCCCAAATTTCCCCCAAAATCCCCAAATATTTTTAATTTTTTAATTTTTTTTTTGGGCTCTCACCACTGATTGACTTTTTGTCGTCCCTCGAAGTCTGGGGGCAGGGAGCTCATCCTGGTCATGGTTTCCATCAATTCCCTCAAATCTGGCTGGATCTGCAAATTCCCAAAAAAAAATTGGGAATTTTGGGATTTTTGGGGATTTTTGGGATTTTTTGGGGGATTTTTGGGGATTTTTTGGGATTTTTGGGGGATTTTTAAGGGATTTTTTGGGGGATTTTGGGGGGATTTTTTGGGGATTTTTTTGGGATTTTTGAGGATTTTTTAGGGGAAATTTTAGGGATTTTTTGGGGGATTTTTTGGCAATTTTTTAGAGAATTTTTAGGGAATTTTTGGGAGATTTGTGGGGAATTTTTTGGGAATTTTTTTGGGATTTTTAAGGAATTTTTTGGGAATAGCAGCGGGGGCAGGGAGCTCATCCTGGTCATGGTTTCCATCAATTCCCTCAAATCCGGCTGGATCTGCAAATTCCCAAAAAAAAATTGGGAATTTTGGGATTTTTTGGGGATTTTTTAGGATTTTCTGGGGATTTTTTGGGGATTTTTTGGGGATTTTTGGGGGATTTTTTAGGGAATTTTTAGGGATTTTTTGGGGATTTTTGGGGATTTTTTGGGAATAATTTGGGGGATTTTTTAATGAATTTTGGGGGAATTTTTAGGGAATTTTTGGGGGAATTTTGGGGGGAATTTTTGGTCAATTTTGGGGGAATTTTTGGGATTTTTTGGGATTGGAATTTTGGGAATTTGGGGGATTTTGGGGATTGGAATTGGGAAATTTTGGGGATTTTTGGGATTGGAATTTGGGATTTTTTGGGGACTGGAATTGGGGAATTTTGGGGGATTTTTTGGGACTATTTTGGGGGATTTTTTATGGAATTTTTTGGGAATTTTTGGTCGATTTGGGGGAATTTTGGGGGAATTTTTGGGGATTTTTGGGGGAATTTTAGGCATTGGAATTTGGGATTTTTTGGGGGACTGGAATTGGGAATTTTGGGGATTTTTGGGATTGGAATTTGGGAATTTTAGAATTTTGGGGATTTTGGGGATTTTTTGGCATTGGAATTTGGGGATTTTGGGGAATTTCGGAATTTTGGGGGATTTTTTGGGAATTTTTGGGGGATTTTTTATGGAATTTTTTGGGGATTTTTAGGGGGATTTGGGGGAATTTTTTGGGAATTTTTGGTCATTTTGGGGGGAATTTTTGGGGACTGAAATTGAGGAATTTTTGGGATTTTTTGGGATTGGAATTTGGGGACTTTGGGGAATTTTTGGGATTGGAAATCGAGAATTTGGGAATTTTGGGAATTTTGGGGATTGGAATTTGAGAATTTGGGAATTTTGGGGACTGGAATTTGGAAATTTTGGAATTTTGGGGATTTTTGGGATTGGAATTTTAGGAATTTTGGGGATTTGGGGGATTGGAATTTTGGGAATTTTTGGGCAATTTGGGGAAATTTTTGGGGACTGGAATTGGGGAATTTTCGGGGATTTTTTGGGGGAAATTTTGGGGAATTTTTAGGGAATTTTTGGTCATTTTTGGGGGGTTTTTTTGAGACTTTCTGGGGGTTTTTTGGGGGGAATTTTAGGGACTGGAATTTGGGATTTTTTGGGAATTTTTGGGGAATTTTGGGAGATTTTTTGGGAATTTTGGGAGATTTTTTGGGGAATTTTTGAGGAATTTTTTTGGAATTTTGGAGGGATTTTGGGGGGAATTTAAGGGATTGGAATTTGGGGGATTTTTGGGATTGGAATTTGGGAATTTTGGGGATTTTTGGGAATTTTTGGGACCCTCACCTCGTCCATGGCTCTGATTTCCAGGCGCAGTTTGTCCATGACTGTGATGAAAAGCTGAAAATTCCAAAAAGGGAAAATTTGGGATCAATCCCATCCCAAAAAATTCCCCTAAAAATAAAAAAAATCTCCCCAAAATCTCTCAAAAAATAGAAAAAAAATTGTCCCAAAAATCCCCCCCAAAATTAAAGAAATTCCCCCAAAAAATTTGCCCCAAAAATGAGTTAAAAATTAAAAAAAAAAATCATAAATATTCCCAAAATATTCACAAAAAATTCACAAAAAGTTCCAAAAAATTCACACAAAGCTCCAAAAAATAAAAATAAAATCCACAAAAATTAAAAAAAAAAATTAAAAAAAAAATCCCAACATTCCCAAATAATTAAAATAAAATTCTGAAAAAACAATCCCCAAAATTTCCACAAAAATTGCAAAAAAAAAATCAAAAAATTAGAAAAAAAAAAATCACCAGAAAAATCCCCAAATATTCACCAAAAACGCCCCAAAAATTCCAGAAAAATTTCCAAAGTTATCAAATAATTCCCAAAAAATTCCCCAAGAAATCCCTAAACATTCTCCAAAAAAATCACAAAAAATTCTGAAAAAATGCCCAAAAAAATCACAAAAAAATGACAAAAAAATTCCCCAAAAAAATCACCAAAAAATCCCCAAAAATCCCTCAAAAATTCCTAAAAAAGCACCAAAAAATCCCCAAAAATGCCATAAAAGTCACAAAAAAAAATCACAAAAAAGCCTAAAATTTTAAAAAAAAAATCTCAAAATAATCACCAAAAAATCCCCCCAAAATTCCCCAAAAATCACCAAAAAATCAAGAAAAAAATCACGAAAAAATTTAAAAAATTTCCAAAAAATCATGAAAAAATCCCCAAAAATCACCCCAAAACTTCCAAAATAATTTTAACAAAATAAAAAAAAAGACAAAAAATTTCCAAAAAATCCGTAAAAAATTCTCCAAAAAAATTCCAAAAACATTCCAAAAAATTTCCAAAAATCGCCCAAAAAAATCCCCAAAAAAATCACAAAAAATCACAAAAAAATCCCCAAAAATTAAAAAAAAATCAACTAAAAAATCACAAAAAAATCCCAAAAAATCCCCAAATAATCCCCAAAAAATCCAAAAAAATC